GGTGAGGATGTGGAAACACTGGAATCATCATACATTGTTAGCGAGAATGTAAAACGATACAGCCACTTTGGAAAAGAATCTGAAAGGTTAAACACAAAGTCATCATCACATGATTCCACTCTTAGGTATACACCCAAGGGAAATAAAACATTTGTCCATACAAAATCCTGTACATAAATGTTCACAGCAGCATTATTCATAAGAGCCAAAAAAGTGCAAACAACTCATGTGTCCATCAACCGATGACAAATAAACTGTGGAATATTATTCAGTAATAAAAAGGAATGAAGTATGATACATGCTACAACATGAATGAACCTTGAAAACATTATGCAAAGTGAAAGCGGTCACATAGAAGGCCACATATTGAATAATTCCATTTATATGAACTGCCCAGAAAAGGCAAATCTAGAGAGACAGAAAGTAGATTAGTGACCGGTAGGGGCTGTGAGGCAGGAGGCAATGGGGAGCAATTGCTAATGAGTATGGGGTTTCTTCTTGGGAGGGTGAAATTTTCTAAAATTAGATCTAAAAAGTTAAATGTTCTAAAATGTTCTAAAATATTTGAGCATGTGGCATATGGACAAGAGAAACCTCATATGTGCTTATTTAAATACTGCTGCATTTTGGTGATGGCAATATGCTATCTCTGTGAACATACTAAAAACCACTGAATTGTACACTTTAAATGAGTGAATTGTATGGAATATGAATTTTACATCAATAAAGTTATTTTTAAAAAGTATGTCCCTCTCTTGGCATACTAGCCAACTGTAACACTATGCCAATAATATTCCTAATAACAGCAGAAAGGGCGTTGCTTCCAACATTCTGATATGAGATTTCCATTTCAGAGACTAAATAGAAACAATATAGATTTATATTTTTTCTTATAAAATTCAAAAATCAGTATTACATTATATCTATATACAATATGCAAATATTTGGCCTTATGTCATTAATCATTATAGAATAGTAACAGCAATTATAATAGTGCAATGATTATAAGATGATATTTAATCTATAAAATTGAACCAAAAAATATTCAACCACAACCTACTACTTCAATTCTTTCATATCTTTACTCATGTTTACAATAGATACTGCAGTTATAATTATGCTATATATAATTTTTTCCATGTATTTATTTCACTACTCAATGGTTCTGAGTATGTAATAATCTATTTGACCCCACATATGCTTAGTAGTTGGACAAACTAGCATAAAACCTCAAGTTGCAGAATTTATGCTCTAGGTCATAATATTTCTAAAAATATTTGATTTTTAGTTATTGAGAGCATTCACTTCTGAAAAACAAAACTAGAAACATTTAAAATCTGCTTAACAAATGTTCTTTCACCAAATGATTGTTTTCAGTCAGTCATTAAATATGAAAAAAAGAAAAATACATTCCCCCAAAGGGGTGAGGAAAGGACAAAACAAAGCAGTAGACAGAAAGTCTAAAGGAGAAAAGCTGAATAAAAAAATTATTCATAAGCATTTCTTGGATATTTTATCTAAGAAAACTCTTCTGACTAAAGTGGAAACTTGTTTGGCTACAATACATCATTCTACTATTGTGATTAATGCCATAGTGCCAAATATCTGAGCATGAGGCATATGGACAAGAGAAACCTCATATGTGCTGATTTAAATACTGCTGCATTTTAGTCCATAACTGCTTAGTTGATATTGAAATGGAACTGTAAAGTTTTATCTAGTCCTTCTAATTTCTGCAATTCCAGCTGAGAAAGTATAGGAATTAAACCAATTTCAGAAGCCCACGAACAATTTTTAATGACTAGTTATGTAATAATATTGCAAAAACTAAAGACAAAAGCTAGTCTTTTGAAGAAAATTAAGGGAATAAGTTTAACAGATATTTATATAAAATCAAGTCAATATTATAAACAAAGAATAAAGTTGATTTATGACATTTTTAGAGTACAAAAAGTACTCTTTTTGATAGTGCCTCCTATCAAATCTCAAATAAAAGGTACATGATAAAAAATTTCCATTTGGAAACATCTAAATTACAGATACTTTACTCGTACTGAAAACAACATAACAAGACAAAGCAACCTACAGAAGAAATATTATTAGGAATGTCAATAGGATCCTAGGTTAAAACCAAAATGTACTGCACTAATTATATGTATTTTCCTCCCAAACTGAACTAACATGCTGAGCATCTACATGTGAAACTCTATGCTATGCAATTTCACATACACTCATACAATACACAAATACTTCCTTCACCCCCACCAAAAAAAAGGAGAAGGAACAAATCCAATAAGCAACTTTGTTCTTTTTTTTACTTAATACTCCCTCAACGCCAACCCATATTGTCTTCTAATGATTTTGTTTTCCTAACATTTTCATCATATATTCTCCTACTTAATGAATTAGCTATAACAATTCTCCACTATATACTGCCAAAGTTAGGGTTGATTCTTTTAAGGCAGGGCAAGGTGGAGAGGAAGTAGTAAGGAATTCAGCTGAGAAATATCTGCCTTAGACATTTGATCAGTTACATTTAATGCCTTAGACATTTGCTTAAATTAATAAATGCCTTTAAAAAATGTCAACATCTACCAAAGGGGTCAGGATTATCTTTCATTCAAATTTGCATATTAACATTAATTCTGAGAAACAAGAAAGAGGGAATTTGAAAGCACAGCATGAGACAGTTAAGTCTCTGCAGTGGATTATAGCTAGGAGACAGACAAGAGAGAGGAAGGAGTATAAGACAAAGATCAGTCAATAGATCCTAAAAGGGAAGGGCATTGAAAATCCCTATCTAGGCATACATAGCCCTCTGTTAATATCCAGTTCTCTTTTCTGTCCCTCACCATCATACTCATACCATTTTATTTTTATGAGCATTTCATTCATTCTATTTATTATGTGCCAATCACTAAGTTAAGATCAGAACTACAAGGATGACAGTAAAGAATATTCCTTTTCATGAAGAGGTTATACTCTGAGAAGTAGGGAGCAAAGAGTAACCACAATGCACTAAAAATATTATAACAGAGGTGTACACCAAGTACTACAGGGTCATAAAAAAATGAATTACCATCTGACTGGAGTTTAAAAGATGTGCCTTAAAAAATAACAGAGGTCTGTCAGATAGAGAAGGGCAGAGAGGCCATTCCAGGTAAGAGCTGTAGAATATGGAAAAGGGTATAGGTTAGACAAACAAGAAGGGTATGCTATACTAAATTTGGGATGTTCTTCTGTAGGCAATAGGGAGCTGAAAATATTTTAAAGTAAGGGAGTGACATAATCAGGTTTCTTATTTAAAAGGATAACTATGCCAGAAATGTGCATAATTAACTAGAATGCAGAGGGAGAGATGTTAGGGAAAACCAATTAAAAGGTTATTTTAAGAGTCTAGATAACAGGGATCTGAAACCAAGGTGGTAGTTGTATGAACAGAGAGGGGCAGATTAGGGATCAACTTCTGAAATAGCAGTAAATTGTTCTGATAACTGAATAGGGCTTGATAATCAATAGGAAGAAAAGGAAATGTAAGGTCTAATTTCAGAGTTTAGGTGGAGAAAAAGAATACAGTAATATCAACGGAGTATAGGGATGGGGATTGAGAGAACGAGGTTTTTTTAACTTGTGTATAAAGCACTTTAGTAATATTCAGGTGTCAGTTTAAAACTCAGGAAAGAAGTGGAGGCCACATCAAGACTAGAGGTCACTTACTCATAGATGGTAGCTTAAAGCAGTACCTGACCAGAACCGCCGCCCTTCAGCATGGCTAAAGCTCACTATCCTGATTCTTCTCAATTGCTGTACCTTTGTTAATGCTGCCTCATCTTTAAACACAGTGTCTCTTTATTACAGCTATCCACAATTCTACCAATGGTTTTAGATTTATTCCATTCCTTTTCTTCTTTTACATCTATTTCCTAATATAGGAAATCTATCAAGTTAGGATTCTGGAGTTCTTATCTCACCTTTGCTACTAGAAATGCATGTTCTTGAATAAGCCTCTTAACCTTTCTGGATTTCAGATATGAAAAAGAGTATCAGATTAACTAACCTCTTAGATTTCTTCCACTTGTAATACTCCACAAGTCCCTCTCTGACCTCAGAAAGATCTCTGCATTACACATTAATTGTAATACTCATATGACAGGTGGTTTTCTCATGTTATCACAAAGTCTCTTAGTGTTCATTCATTTCATATTTCTATGTATCTTATCTCCTCTACTAAATTACACATTGCTTGACAGCAAGAACCATCTTTGTCTTAAATGAAGGTCCTTAATAATACTTACTGAGTAAGAAATGGCTGGAGTATTTGATAATACAAACCAAAATGCTAAGTTGAATATCATTGTTTTCTAAGTATTTTGTTCCTAAGTCTTTTTTTTTTAAACCTCCTTCACGGTGTTGAACACTATGTCATAAATTGCTTTTCTTTTCCTCTTATTACCTAAACCACAGCCACATACATATGTACATTTATATAGTATTTGGGGGGGGTAGTAAGAAAAGAAGCTTCTCTTCCTGCGTAAGAGTAAAGAAAGTTAGGAGTTGATCAGAACAAAAAGCACAAAACCATTGACAACCACCATTTCTACTACCACTGCTATAATCTCCATCATCTTAAAGGGATTATTACCAAAGGTGTAAGCAAGGTAGGGGTATGGTGGAGGAAAAAAAAGAGCACAGATACATTATCTACCAGCAAGGAAAAAGACCTCAGTCTGATTTCAAGAGCATAAAAAATAACTTGGATCTTTTCTATTAACACAAAGAAGACATGTGAGTTTTGTTATAATAGAAAATTTTTAAGTCTGTTTATATAAGACTTTTCTCACCATTACACCTCTGAAGCACAATTTCAAAACAATTACCATATATTCTTGGTCAAACTATTACACATTATCATTGTTATTTAGATATACAAGATAAATGTAATTACTAAAGCAAAGACAAATATCAACAGCAAAATATCTCCATAACTTTATGATTCTTACCTGTTCACTCTCCTAGGACACTTGTCTGGTTTAATATCCACCTCATAGAGGTAGACATCAATCTTTGGGATTTCAACTTGAAAACAGTTAGCCAGCAATTTAATGGGTTTGCCCATGGTGCCATAGCCAGGTCTTCTGGGCACCATGAGTAGGGGCTGGGCCCCAACAGGTCCTGCCAGAGAGGGGGAAAAATAGAGTAACACTGTTACAAGCTGCATTTGATAATCTTGTCAATCAGGTTATGTTAGAATTTTAAAGTACAGCTGACAGTGATTAAGACTAGTGCTGAAAGATGACATCATTTCTAAGACTTCAACTTCCTTCCTCCTAACTTACTCTCCTCATTAAAACAAATATATAAACAAAACACTGAGCATCTCTGGAAAACTTTATTGGAAGAGTAGAAAGAAGAGAGAACAATCATAAAACCTAGGTGAGCATTAGCAAGCCCAAATCAGACCCCAAGAGTGTGAGACCAACAGCAAAGTAAAATAAAGAAAGCAGAAGGTGATAATAAGGATAAGAATAAATCAGCAAAATGAAAAACTATATACAATCAAAAGGATCAACAAAGCACAAAATCAATTGTTTGAAAAGAAAGAAAATCATAAAACTCCAGGCAACACTGTTCAGGAGAAAAAAGGCTTTAAGTAACCAAAATATGGAAAAAATGATTATCACTACAGATACTGAAGACATTACATTGTGTCAATAAATTTGAAAGTTTGATAAAACAAATTCCTAGAGAAATATAGCTTACTGACACATACAAGAATACACAATCTGAAAAGTCCTCTGTTGGTAGAGATGTAAAATGGTGCAGTCACTTTGGAAAACAGTATGGTGGGTCTTCAAAACATTAAAAATGGAATTACTATATGATCCAGCAATTCTACTTCTGTATTTACATCCAAAAGAACTAAAAAGAAGGACACTGAAGAGAACTGTACACCTATGCTCATAGCAGCATTATTCAAAATAGCCAAAAGGTAGAAGCAACCTGAGTGCCTACTGATGGATGACTGGATAAGCAAAATGTGGTATATACATACAATGGAATATTAATCAGCCTTAAAAAGGAAGGAAATTCTGACACATGGTACAACATGTACAAAATTTATGGATGTTATGCTAAATGAAATAAGCCAGTCACAAAAAGACACTGATTCCACTTATTAATACCAAGAGTGGTCAAATTCATAGAGATGAAGTAGAAGCGTAGCTGCCAGGGGCTGGGAGAAAGGGAGAATGGGGAATTGCTGCTTAATGGGTGTAGTTTCAGTTTTACAAGAAAAAGAGTTCTGGAGATTGGTTATACAATATCCACACACTAATTGAATGTACTTAAGTACTACTGATGTGTATACTAAAAAATTACTAAGATGATAAATGTAATGTTACATGTATTCAAGTGTGAATGTACTTTAATACTACTAATCTCTACACTAAAAAATTGCTAAGATGGGGGAGGGCTGTGCAACACAGAGAAGACAGGTAGTGATTCTACGGCATCGTACTACACTGATGGACAGTGACTATAATGGGTTTGTTGGGGGAACTTGGTGATGGGGGAAGTCTAGTAAACATAATGTTCCTCATGTAATTGTAGATAAATGATACCAAAAAAAAAATTGCTAAGATGGTAAACTTAATGTTACATGTGTTTTATCACAGCTAAAAAAGAACTCTAAGTGATATCCAGCATTAAGATTTTAAAGCCCAAAATGTTGTAGCTTTGTTAAACAAATCTCAAATAATGAATTCAGTTAATAAATGAATAACTATCTCAATTAACTTCATTTAAAACACTTGAAAAGTCCTGTAACTATGTGAAAAAATGAAATCCACAATTAAAAATATTTCTACATGCACACTAAAAGATTCCAGATCCAGATTGCTCCACTACAGAATTATACGAAACATTTAAGGAAAAAAATAATATCAATCTTATACAAACTCTTCCAGAAAAGAGAAAAAAGTGAAAATACCCCAATTCAATTTATAATGACAGAAAAATCTTGATGCTAAAATCTAACCAGAACATTATGAAAAGGGAAAATCCTAGGGCAATCTCATTCATGAACATAGATGCAATAATCCTAAATAAAATGTTAAGTTAAACCAAGCAATGTATCAGAAGGATAATGTATCATGACCAATATGAGTTTTTATCAGGAATTAAAAGGTAAGTTCACAACAACTTTTTTTTTTCACTGTGAATGAAAGTAGATTAAAGTGCTGTCTACATCATTTATTCTTAAATTTTGTTTTCAGATATTTCTAATCTCTTTCATGTATTTGTAAATTCTTCAAAAGGCATAATCTTTCCTGCCATCCTAGACTGAGACAGGTAATACTGAGTAAATCTGGACTAGGTTATAGTTCTGGCTCTGCCATGTATCTAACCATTTGAACTCTGTCAAATATTAATGGCCCTGAAACTCTATTTCCTGATCTAAAAGATGGGAATAAAACTTGATCTGTATCTTTCTTATGAATCTTGTTAGGATCAAATTGGAAAATGTACAATTTTCTAAAGTAAGCTAAACTTACCAAGTTCTTACTTGTGATAAATGCTTTACATGCATTATCTCATTTAATCTTCATACAAATTTTATAATGATTTTATAGATGTGGAAAACTGAAGTGACTTGCCTAAAATTTCACAGCTAGTTAAGTAGTAAAACCAGGACTGGAACAGCCCTCCTGGGCTCTTTACTCTATTGATATATTCGTCCATCTTTTCACCAGTATAATACACTGTCCTGATAACTACAGCTTTGTAGTAAGTCTTGAAGTCAAGTAGTGTCAAGTCTTCCAATGTCATTCTCCTTCAATATTGTGTAACTATTCTGGGTATTGTGCCTTCCCATATAAACTTTAGAATCATTTTGTCTATATCCACAAAATAACTGGCCAGGATTTTGTTTGGGTTTGGGATTGTGCTAACTCTATGACTCTATGAATCAAGTTGAGAAGAACTGACATCTTCAGCATATTGAGTCTTCCTATACATGTACATGGAGTGTCTCTATTTATACTTTTCTTTTATTGTTTTCTTCAGAATTTTATTTTCCTTGTATCTTGTATACATTTTGTTAGGTTTGTAAGTTTTGTTAGATCTTATAAGTATTGGCTTTTTTTTGAGTGCTAATGTAAATGGTACTTGCTTCTAATTTCAAATTCTTATTGTTCACTGCTGGCCTCCAATTTCAGACTCACTATTAGTCTACAATAATCAAGACAGTATTGGTTAAAGAATAGACAAAAAAATCAATAGAACAGAAAAGGAAGCCCCAAAATTGTCCCACTAAATATAGTCAACTGATTTTTGACAAAGGAGCAAAGGCAACTCAATGGAAAAAGGATAGTCTTTTTTCAATAATGGTGCTAAACAAGTGGATATTCATATGCAAAAAAAAAACAAACCACATCTAGACACAGAACTTACACTTTTTCCAAAAATTAACTCAAAATGGCTTACAGACTTAAATGTAAAATGTAAAAAGTACAAAACTCCTAGAAGAAAACACAGGTGAAAACATGTGATGGTAACTTCTTAGGATACCAAAAGCACAATCCATGAGATAAAAACATTGATGTTTTCATTAAAATTAAAAAGATCTGTTCTGCAGAAGAGAATAAAACACAAGCCACAGACTGAGAGAAAATATTTACAAAACACCTATCAGATAAAGGGCTAGTATCCAAAATATATAAAGATCTCTTAAAACTCAACAAAAAAACTCTTAAGAAAATGGACAAAAGATCTGAACAGATACCTCACCAAAGAAGATATGCAGATGGAAAATAAGCATATGAAAAGATGCTTAACATTATATGTCATTAAGGAATTGCAAATTATAACAATGGGATACCACTACACACCTATCAGAATGAGAAAATACAAAAAAACACTAACAACATCAAATGCTGACAAGGATATGAAGCAAGGCACTCTCATTCGTTGCTGGTGGACTGCAAAGTGGTACAGCCACTTAGGAAGACAGTTTAGCAGTTTCTTACAAAATTAAACATACTCTTAACCATATTATCCAGAAAACATGCTCCTTGGTATGACCTAAAACTTACATCTAGACAAAAACCTGCAGAAGAATGTTTATACACAAAAACCTGCAGAAGAATGTTTATAGTAGCTTTATCTATAAATGCTAAAACCTGTAAGCAACCAAGATGTTCTTCAGTAGGTGAATGAATAAAAAAAAAACTGAAGTACCTCCAGACAACAGAATATTATTCATCTCTAAAAGAAATGAGTTATCAAGCATGAAAAAACTTGGAGGAACCTTAAATGCACACTTCTAAGTAGAAGAAGCCAACTAAAAAGGCTACATAACATGTAATTTCAACTGCATGATATTTTGGAAAAGGCAAAATTATGGAGACAGCAAAAAGATCAGTGGTTTCCAGGAGGGAGAGATGAATAGGCGGAGCACAGGGAATTTTAATTCTATTTTGTATGATATTGTAATGTTGGATATATGTCACTAACATTTGTCAAAACCCATAGAATGTACAATGATCAAAACCCACAGAATGTACAACACAAAGAGTGAATTCTAATTTAAACTATGGACTTTAGTTAATAATACTGTATCAATACTGGGTCATTAATTGTAACAAATGTACCACACTAATGTAAAAACAGGGGAAACTGGCCGTGAGCAGGGGAATCAGGGGGTATATAGGAACTCTGTACTTTCCATTCTATTTTTCTATAAATTCAAAACCAATTAGAATTAATATAATGTACATGCTTTGACCTAGCAATCCCAATTTCTAGGTATTTATCTACACATATACTTCCATATGCATAAAATGCTATTTGTACAGGATATTCTTGTATGCAGCATTGTATGGAGTAACAAAAGACAATGGAATGTAAGCTCAATGAAGGTTGGGGGTTTTGTCTGCTATTTTCGATCTATACTGTCCAGAACTGTTCCTGGCATAAAGGTATAAAGTAAACAATAAATATATGCTAAATGAATGAAATGAATAAATCAAAACTCAATAGGAAATTAATACAACCACACAATGGAATAATATATAACTATTTAAATTAAAAAGAACAGGGAAACTCCTTAGATTCACTAAAGATGGCTTATATAAAAAAATACTACAGGATAGGGTATATAATGTGTCCATTTG